TGACGAGCAATGATCACCAGGGGGCAGACACTCCAACCAGCAGTGGAGGGAGCCCAATTCCTCACGGAATAGGCTGTGGGTTAGGTTGTTGCTGGGGCACTGCTGGCCCCAAATCTGCTTCACCCGCACTCAGACCCAGAGAGGAGGCAGGAGGGAGCCGGTGGGCACCCAGGTCTTGGGGGCTGGGCCTGCAGGAGGGGTCTCACAATCTAGGACCCCTCGGGGGATGTCGGAAAGCCGGTTTCAGCCCAATCCCCATTGGCCAGGCTGACAGACCCCACCGGTGCACAAATCCATACACCGGGCCACTTTGGGCCCGATCCCTGCAGGCCAGGCCAAGGGATCCCACCAGTGCCCAAATCCGTGCACCAGGCCTCTAGTTTTACATATAAAATACTCTCCAGCAAAAATGTTCAGCATTAATGTACAGATTTCTAAAGAGTGTTGTAGAAAACCTTAAACAATTTATTTCACCCAGAGAATATTATACATGTATTCATGGTAAAGTACAAAAATGAGTATCACTCTTAGCAGAAATCAGAATAAGGAAATAACAAAGACATTATATAATGTTCTTCCTTCTCAGACTTTGGCTAAGATCAGATTGGCTTATAAAATGTTTGACTTCTAAACAGAGGTAACCGCTTAGGAATTTATATTTTTTCAACATTTCATTTAAAAAATCTATTTCAATAAAATTTTTAAAATATAAGCTATACAGTCAGTTTTAAGGGCACAAAACCTGAAGGACCATGGAAGTTAGGTTAATTTCTTCAATTTTCTGCTATTTGTGTCTTTATCATTTGTCTTCCTTTTTCTATTTTTATTACTCATATTTCTCTTTTCCTTAATTTGCCATCCAATAGTTCTGCAATTAGATGACATAGAAGATAAATGTCTATCCTTTTCCCACTTGCCTTACTCCATAACAATGACAAAAACACCTTACTCAATCACCCCCACTGATCCTGCTGAACCAAACATGAGAAGCCTTGGGGCTTCCCAGATTCACACTAAGTACTGAAAGGAAGGAGCAGAAGAAAACCACAGAGAAGTTAGAGATGCTTTGCTAACAAGACTCAGATTTCGTGGACACTGTTAAATACAAATCTGAGTTCTAGTCTTACTTCTGTCAGTCACTAGAGCATAAGCAGAACATTTAACCAGCCTGGGTCTCCACTTTCTCTTCAGCACAATTAAGGAAATGGCCTAATGGTTTTCTTACCAGGTAAGGGAGGATCTACATTTTCAAAAAGTGTTGTGAATAGCATAGAGCACCATTTGAGTACTGTAATAACTTCTAAGATTATAAGTTTCTGAGATCTGGGAAACAATGACTTCTAGTATAACCACCAGTGTGGTACAAAGGAAGACAAGGTTGTCTTAAAATTTGTGAATGTGAAAAATGGTATCTAGTCATAGGTGTATTATCACAAGAGTAAAAGTGGTTTGCATGGTTTCATGCATCTGAATGATGCTAAAAAATGTATTTGAACGGCTTGAATATTTTCAAAAATGTAAAAACAAAAATGAAAACTCAAATGGTCAACTAGTACTGAAAGAGATTCAAATTCACCATCAGATAAATTCAAATTAAAACAACACAATTTCATTTATGTAAACTATATTTGATATAGTCTGAATGTACGTCCCCAAAAAATTCATGTTAAAATCCGGGGCCTTTAGGAGGTGATTAGGTCATGAAGAAGGAGTGTCCTTATGAATGGGATTAGTGCTCTTATAAAAAAAGATTGCTGAGAGCTCCCTAGCTCCTGCCATGTGAGGGCCTTCACCTGACCATGCTAGCATCCAGATCTTGGACTTCCAGCCTCTGGAACTGTGAGCAATAAACCTGCTACTTATAAGTCACCCAGACTGTAGTATTTTGTAACTGAATGGACTAAGACAATATTATACAAGAAGTATGCACATTCAAAAATATTACACATAGCACACTGGTATGAAGCCTGGAGAAGGGGGATATATGCAGAGTAAATCAGGACTGATAGGAGAATAAATTTAATCAAGAGAGAAATCTTGCATGGACAGATGGGGACATTATGCAATGAAATGAAACATGTAAACAACTAAATTCTCCATACTTGAGGTCCATTTAAACAAATAAAAACACATCTGCACATACCAACCTAGTATAATAAACAGATGTTCATATGTTTTATTTATAAAGAGATGTTCTGGCCCTGCCCTCAGGAACTACTTAATCTACATTGGCAAAAGCAATCCTAAAAAGTTAACTATTTGTTTTTTATAGGCTTAAATAAAAGCAGGAAATTACAATGACAACTAAGGAAGAACAAATACAATCTACATATATAAAAGCCTAAGCGACTGTACGACCAAACAACCAGAACGACCGGAACGACCGGTCGACCAGTCGCTATTACATGCACTGGCCACCAGGGGGCAGACACTCAATGCAGGAGCTTCCCCCTGGTGGTCAGTGCGCTCCCACAGGGGGAGCACTGCTCGGCCAGAAGCCAAGCTCACAGCTGGCGAGAGCAGCTGCGGCGGCGGGAGCCTCTCTTGATTCCGCAGCAGCGCTACCGAGCGGCGAGCGGCGGCGGCAGGTGCAGCAGGCCGGGATGAGCACAAGCAGCACAGCACCTGGCCCCGGCTCGGGCTCCTCCCTGGCCACCTGCTGCTTGGTGCACTGCTACATCCCTCGGGGAATGTCTGAATGCCGGTTTAGGCCCGATCCCCACACAAATCCATGCACGAATCCATGCACTGGGCCTCTAGTGATATTTATAAGCAGGCAACCTAATCACATCAAAAAACAACAGCTGCCAGAGACAGAGAATAAAGGCATACTACCTATGATCCTAAAAAGCTCAGAGGTCTAGGGATATTCACCGTGACAGCAAAAACTGAATATACCTCTATGACCTCTGAGAAAAGGCTGTATTATATTATAAATTCTATTTAACAGTAGCAATAATAAAATCCCTCTTCAAATATGTGTTTCTTTTCAAATGTGACACCTACATTGCCACGGACACATACATTTAACCCCAACAGGTTTTTCTCCTGAGGTTCCACCCAGTTTTAGTATATCCAGATGTTTGACAGCACCTTTACAAAACACCTGGATAATTAACTGAATTTTTCAAGTGCATAGGCTTGTTTGCTATCCTGTAAATACAGCCATAGATACCAACATCAACTCTCTAATGCTTTCCTAAAAAACAAAATCAAGTTAAACATTACAGTGCTGTATGGTTTTTAAACTCAGGTTTAAAAACCTCTTCAAGCACAGAAAACAGGATAATATATTCTTAATGGCTTTTAAAGCAACAAAAATTCCTTTTGACTGTGGCAGATGGTAATTCGTACCTGTAATTTTTTTGCATATCGGTTGAACATAAATGTCACACATTCACTGATGGCACCTGTTCTTTGAAGAAGTAGTAGTCCTTTAGGGGTAGCAGCAAAATTTAGTAAACCATCTAACAAATTCTCTTCCCAAGCCATACTGAAACAGGCGAAGAATAGGTATGAGGTTCTTCATTATACTCAAATGGAACAGAAAATATTTTAGCTTAATAGTGCTGATAATTAAATTTATAGAGTACACATTGGTTGCAAAGTATTCAATAAATTTTTTAAAATATGACAAAAAGCATAGTTTCCTCAATAGCGAACTCTTTTTACTTTTATTTATTTTTAGAGAGAGAGGAAGGGAGAGTGGGAGAGAGAGAAACATCAATGTGAGAGCGAAACATCCAGGGATCAAGTCCGCAACCCAGGCATGTGTCCTCACTGGAAATCGATCCAAAAACCTTTCAGTGCATGGTATGAGTCACGTCAGTCGGGCAATAGGATATCTTTGCATTGATTTTTAGAGAAAGTGGAAGGGAGGGGAGAGAGGGAGGGGAGGGGAAGGGAGGGGAGGGGAGGGGAGGGGAGGGGAAATAGAAATATCAATGTGAGAGAGACACATCAATTGGTTGCCTCCCAAACACCACCTGACCAGGGCCAGGAATCAAGCCTGCAACGGAGGTATGTGTCCTTCACTGGAATTGAACCCACAACCCTTCAGTCTGTGGGCCAAGGTTCTAGCTGCTGAGCCAAACCATCTAGGGCAATAATTATTTTATTTCTTACATCTTCTATCCCAATAATTTTCCTTCACTGAATGAATCAAATATTCACTGCACATGTCCGAATTTTTATTAAATCTATGGTAGATTCTCTTACAAATGCTTAAATTGCCTTCCTATTATAATTCTGCTGTGCCTGGATTTCCCGAGCCCAACCTCTCCATTGTTTTGAAATTTACTTCCTTTTCATTATAGAGTACCTGTTTTCTGATTTTCTAAAGCATACCAGGCATATTATATTTATTTTCATAAGTTTTATTATACTTTTAAAGAATGACTTTTTTTCTCAGAACAGTTCTAAAAGGAAAGCTAGTAACATTCTCCAGAGAAAAAACCTGAAAAGTCACAAGACATACTTTTATAGGAGAATGAAAGATAGAAATCTAGAAATACAGAAGGGGATATGAGAATTTCATTTTGAAATACCAGAATTAAGAGACAACATATTACCTACTGGATATTTCTAATTGTCTGGAAAGAAACTGTAGAGATTAAAATAGTTCACTCCCAGTGTACCTTGCATGACCCTTATCATATAAATTGAACACACCATATTGCTATGTTGTATTTATTTATTTGTATTCTACACTACTAAATAAGCTCTCTAAAGTATATAGTTATCTTCAGAACTCAGCAAAAAAATTAGTCCAATAAATAGCTGAAGGAATGAGTACAAAATGAATGCACAGAAATAAAAATGAAAAGACTTCCAAAATTACAGATCTAAAATTTACCTCAAAAATGATTTGCAGAAATGTTTTTTCCCTCACTCCTTCACCAAAGAAAAAATGCCAGTTGATTTAAGTTTATGACAATTATATCATATAAAGTTAATTCTCTAAAAACTAGCTATAATTGTTTTTTTAACTATTACATTGTTTAAAAAATGCAAACGGTTTTTTGATTGACTGGTTGGTTTGCTTTGACCTACCCAAAAACAAATGTTAGTTTTTGGGTTTCTCTCCAGAGAATCCTTCAAGATTCTTCTCTAATTATGATCTGTTTAGACTCTGCCAGCACTCAAGAATAGAATCCAGGAACATATGTCACCACATCTTAATTAAAAAAAAATAATGTATTTCGATTCATCTGTCAACTTCTTGAGACAATGAACCCAACAGCTCACACTCCTGTCTCATCTTTGGGGCTCATCCAGGATCGCCGAGGGACGATCAGCTTTTGCTGAAGTGGTCCATTTACCTGTGCACATCAAAGCCCATTAAGGCACCAACAGAAGTTTGCAGCCAAGAAACTCCAGGCCCAGATAAGCAACAAACCAGTCATGGCTGACGTCAGGACCAGCTGACCTCCCGCCCTGGTGCCACTATCAATCAGTGGAGACCACAACCCTGCGAGGACACACCTGGAAAACTACTGAATATTCTGTTAAGATCTTTCCCTGGGACTCCCTGAAAGTCTCCATCCTTAAACCCCGTAGGATGGAGGACCCAGTGCACTCTTGCTCCCGGGAGTAGTCCCTGGCCTTTCCTTTTTCCTTCTCTCTCCCCGTCATTCCTTTCGCAGGCACGTTACCATTACTCTCCTCACTCCCAAGCTCCAAGGGCCCTTCCTTTACCTCCATAACTCATTTCCTAAGCCCATTTCTTCTAGGAATTACTTCTTCTACCTCAGTAATTTACCCAATAAATGTTCTCTTACATAAATAAATAAATAAATCATATTTCCCCCATTAATCTGACTCCATGTCTTATTGATATCTATGAAGAAACATCGAGACTTCTAAATTTAAAATTAGTATAAATACTGATGTAAATTATTTCCCCTTCCAAAATCTTATTAAAACACATTCTCACATATTTTGAAAAATCGTAACTTAAATATACATGGACTTCATTGGCATTCGAAAATACTTTCCTTCTACTGAACTCCCTAGTTAGGTTTCCAATGTTAGTATTTGGTAATTCTCCAAATTTTCTGGAAACAACTCCACATGTCAAGTTTCCTCACCCAAAATGTAAATACAGAATGAAGCAAGTATAATAAATATTGCTAGATTTTTTAAAGTTATAAATCTGATTTCTAAATTTCCAGGTATAATTTTCCTTGGTCCTATATATAACTTACCTTCCCATAAAATGTTTTTGCTACAGTAGTCTGTTACATTCTTATTTTTAAAAATATTTCAGTAAATATGCTTTTAATTTATTTAATCAAGTATACTTACATGTTTTGGGATTCCTGGCTTACCGAAGAGACAGAATCTGAACCCTCTACTGGAGTAGGAATTCTTTCTGATACCAAATTTGTCTAAAACATAACAGATTAATTTGCACTCTTTTTTTCACTGATAGCATTACATTCCTCATGCTACACTTTTTTTAAAATTACCTTCAAAAGTTAAATTTGGTTCTTAATTAAATATCATTTAAAGTATTTCCTTATATGTATATACGTATAACCCATGGACACAGACAATAGTGCAGTGAAGGGCTGGATAGGTTGCGGGAGTGGGATGGAGGAGGTTAATGGGGTTGTGAGGGGGGGAATGGGACATCTGTAATACTTCATTAATTAAGATAAATTTTTAAAGTACTTCATAAATAAAGCATATGAATGTGGGGAAAAAAAGACAGTCTATTGATATATATTATATGTGACTATTGCTACATTATAATCTACAGTGTCCATAACAAAAATCCAGCGTCTGTAAAAACTGCACAGAAATAACTTCCAAAGAGGAATGTCAGTTATGCAAAGATAATTTATCTCAGCTTCTCTTGCCAGAAGAAAAGACTCTGTAGTACCGTTAGATCCTAGAACTGTGTTCTAGGGAGAGGAGATACGAAAGTCATCTTGTGCCAAATTAAAAAGCATTACGCCCTCCAGAGAACTGTGATGCTAAAGAAGTACCATTTGCCCCCATAAAATACTATTTTAACTGCAATATGACACTAGAATAATTATATCTGAAATAAAGATTTGCAGGGAGGGAGAAAAAACTTGAAAATACTTACCTTCTTCCATGCATTAGCTAGAGATTCATGCAGACCATAAGGAATTAACACTTGCAAGCCTTCACATGTACCATATATTTGACAACATGTGGAAATAAAAGCTCCTTTCACCATGGGCAACATTTCCGATCCAGAAAAAATAGAAATATCTTCATCAAGAAGTTTTTTCAAAAACTGGGCTATTTTATGAGCACCTGTAGAACTAACAGATGATACCTAAAGGTGATTCCAAGATTACAAATCATGAATTTATAAAACACTACCAAAGGCTAGCTTTGTCACAAATTCCTCATCTGTTTGGCTTGCTTTTAGTTCTCCTCTAACCTTTTCTCTGACATATCAATATTCTTGTTCCCACCCACGCGCAGATGTCTAGTAATGAGAGCATTTTCAATAGAACTGAGGGAAAATGTAATAGAAAAAGTGTGTGTAATCTGTCATGAGTAATCGGCTATGCTGGTCATGTTTTTTGCTTAACGGCTGTGATATCTTTCCAAATCTCTCTGAGCCCAGTAGTTAGTTAGCTATTGTCATCTATTCCCAGAATTCTCTTCTTTCCTCTGCATAGTCCATAATCCTGGTTACTCCTTCAACTTTCTGATGATCTAATATGTTATTAGTGGCTGGTCAGGAAACTAACTATACCGAAAATAGTTATCCATATATTAACATATAACATGGCATCTTGGAAATTTTGAGTCAGATTTACAAAATATGCTACTAATTCCACAAATTATTTGAAACACAGACATACCTTTTTTCTTCTGAAGAGTTCATATTTTCTCCATAAAGAAGTAAGGTAAGCCCTTCTTCTATAGACGCAATTCTTGCCAAAATATCAGCTATGCAAATTAAAGCTGCTTCAGAGCAATGTGGAGCAGCCTGTACATTAAAAAGAGAACAGTCACATATTTGATGACATGCTGACATATCCCAGACTAAAATTCAAGGGCAGGAGTGTAATCTAATAAAGTTATACTGCCACAACAAAAAGAAAGTTATGATCGTCTGGCGGTGAAATAATATGTCTGAATTAAAAGTAACATTAGATTAGAGTCTCTTACCAGCATAGCTGATGAGGAAAATTCATACAGACTTTTTATGCAAATCAGTTATTGTTTATTAAGACAATTGAGAGAACTGCTGCTATGACAATTTTATATGTAACTAGTGGCCCGGTGCATGAAATTTGTGCACAATAAAAGGGAATTAATTAGAGGAAATATTTTAATATTGCTATTTTGTTTCCATCTCTCCATCCCAGTCTCTCCCAGTCTCTGTCTCTCTCTGTTTTTCTCAGCAGTCCTCCAGGCCTCCCTGCCTCCCTCTCTCCCTCTTCCTCTTTCCCGGCTGGGAAGGGGCAGGGCCAGTGGGGGCAGCTCCACCCTCTGCCCGCCCTGGGGCCTCATTCTGAGAGAGGCTCCGAGAGCGAGCTGGGAGGGAGGGAAAGAAAGGGAGAAAAGGCTGGGAGCTGTGTGTGTGTCTGTGTGTCTGTGCGTGTGTGCGGTTGTGAGTGAGTGAGAGTGCCGGCCCCACCTCCCCCGGCCCTGGCGCCACAAGTCCCCACCCACCAGAGCCTGTTGCTCGGGCAGCCTGGGCTTTAGGTCGAGCCTTCAGTCGTTTTGGATGTGACGGACCCTGGCTCTTTATATATATAGATTCTTGTGGACAAATGCAGTAGCTTCTCTATTTCCACTCAGCCCTTTACTTCCCATTCACTAGTTTCCTGTACCTTGGAGACATTTAGGTTCAGTCCCAGACATGGCAATAAAGGGGAGTAATCTTTTGGCTGGTGGAGGGTCTTGCCTCCAATTTGTAAAAACGTAACATCTGTAAAGTGCAATAAATCTAAGCAGAATAAAATAAGGTTTACCTGTATATCCAATCTAATTTTATTATACAGAGTCTTTAACACACTACCATCCGTTTTAGGGGATAGCATCCTTTCCTAAGCTGGCCAATAGCCAATGATGTCCCCTAATGAGAAAACATAGGCTGGACCAAGCATATTTCCTCATTTTTTATTTTAAATGAATGTATTAAAAAATATTTTCCAGCGTATAGCAAATTAGTACAAAGCAAATACTGAAAAGTAGCGAGTTGTGTTAATGCTAGAACCCATCAACGTGCCGAAGTCTACTAAAGTTCCTATTCTTTCTGGGACCTACTTATTTGCTTGTACCTGCATGGATGCCAACATTCATATTCTCTATAGTAAACCTGAATATACATTGCAACTAATATATTCCAATTCCAATAAATTCAGTGGCTTAACTAATGAGTCAGGTATATTCACTTGAAGAATTCCTAAATTATATCAGACATTATGTTAGTCCAGTGGTCGGCAAACTGCGGCCCCTTGAGTGTGGCTCTTCCACAAAATTCCCGATGCGGCACGCCACGTACAGTGCGATTGAAACTTTGTGCCACACTCCAGGGGCCAAAAGAGCCGCATGTGGTTCGCGAGCCGCAGTTTGCCGACCACTCTGTTAGTCTATTTCATACTAGATATCTTTCTTAGAGCGACTTCTCTGCCTAAAATACTTTCCTTCTCTCATAAAAACACAAAGTTTGCAGAGGCAACCAATCGATGTCAAAAGAAAATAAGAAGTTAAAGATGTTAAAGACACAAACAATTTATATGGTTTAAGATTCAAGAACACATTTCTCAGGTCTGGTATATGGTTTATATTTACAACATTATTTATATTATGGCATTTTATTAAATTAAGCTGTATTAGGTATTCTATTTGTTTCTTCTCTATTTTGTTTTCCGAAGGTTGACTTTAAGACCATCAAAATAATTTATCATTATATCCTCTTAATTTCCCAGAATTCCATACTTTGCACCGCATTCACATAAATGCTTAATGTTTTCTGAATAAGCAATGAATAATGAATACATGGATGGGTGAGCAATTGCCCAGTCCATTGAGAGAGATGAAACCAATAAAAACACTACATAACACAGACATGGAAAGATAAAAACATTTAGCTTAATTTATTTTTTATTTTTTTTGTTTGTTTTTTGTTTTGTTTTTCAGAGAAAGAGACAGAGAGCATACACTCTATGGTGTCTCTTCTTCGTTTTTGAATATGTTTTTTATTGATTTTTATAGAGAAGGGAGGAGAGACAGAAACATCAATGAGAGAGAAACATCAATCAGCTGCCTCCTACACACCCCCTACTGGGGATTAAGCCCACAACCCAGGTATGTGCCCTGATCAGGAATCAAAGTGGTGATCTCTTGTTCATGGGTCAATGCTCAATCTGAGCCATACTGGCCAGGCAACTTTTAGCTTATTGATAAGCTCATTGATAAACTTTGAGTCATTCCCCAGAAGCTGAAGTCACAGAAGTGGAGGAATATATTACAGACAGCAGTACTAGTAGTGGTACCAGTTCTGCCACCTGTTAAATATGACCTTTAACAAGTCACTCCTCCTTTGAGCCTCAGTCGTGAGGATTACATTACATAATGTGAAGAAATATACTGTACAAATTGTAGAGAGACATACAAATGTTAGGAACCAGGATGTTTATAAGCTTTTTTCCTCAAGTAACATTAGTTCTTCATATAAAACAGAGCTGGCTCTTCAGAAAAACAATCACATTTCCAAAGGCTATAAAATTGCCATTAAAACAAATAATAAAACATTCACAAGATTTATTAGATTTAAAACACAAATAGCTTTTTAATAGAACAACTTATCTTCGTCCTTACAACCATCAGCTCTAAACCTAACTAGAAAAAAAAATTTAAGATGTTATATGTATTTTTCTCCCATATTGTCATAACTAATAAATCAATTGACTGCATAAACTATAATTTAACAATAAATAAAAATCTCTTGGCATAAAATACATTCATATGTGGAAAAATTGTGTAATAAAATAATTTTTAAATATATCAAATTTAGACATAAAACCCCATTGAATAGTCACTCATACCCAACTAAGAGACTTTTTCTCTTTAATAAATAATACCAACCTTAGTTCCTTTCATTAAATTATGAATAGGCTGAAGAAGTGCCTCAACCACAGGTTTGTTAGATAAGCATTCGATTGCACATTCTTTTTGGTCACAGAGTATCTGTAGAACTTCAGTCACCATTCCTGCAGGAGAGTAATTCTCTGTAATGGAAGAAGTATTTTTTAAATTAAACCTTTAGACATTAAATGCTTAATATATCTTTTAGTTATGGGTTAGCTATTACTGTTCCAAAAAAAGTTCAACATCAAGATTAAACAGTTTGAAAAAATCACACAACTCAATGCCCAAAGGATGATGTAATACCAAATTGTAACCTAAAACTTAAGGAGATATCATCTAGCTTAACATATCTTCAAGTTAATAAAAAGTGAATAAATTACAAAATATGAATGCCAAAAGACAACAATATAAGATCACTCGCTGTTTGACATTAAATCATTGCTTGACAGCAAGGATGGGGTTAGAAGCAAATTTAGAGCTTTTCTCCTCCTGGCAAATACTTACTTTCTCTTTTATTATTATATATAATATTACATGTATTCAGGAGTTGATTCTGGTAGAAAATTAGTCATTAAGACAAAATAATGGCCAAAAAGAAGGATGCAGAGAGGAGAAACCTTCCTGTAGACTAGTATATTCTTGTGGTACCATAAAACCAGTGAAATGAATGAGCATTTTTTAAATTTTTCTTTTAAAATACAGTACACATGAATGTAACATGAGAAATGGTCATTAAAATAAATGTGATATTTTTAGTTTCATAAACTAAAGAATTTTCTTATTATTTGACCTAATCTACTGCAAAAATAGTGTTTTACATGAAGAAACTAAGGAACCAAAGTTATCAGTGCACAATTGTCCCAGAAAGATACAATCCTATATAATAAAACCCTAATATGCAAATTGACTGAATGGTGAAACGACCAGTCGCTATGATGCGCACTGACCACCGGGGGCAGATGCTCAACACAGGAGCTGCCCCTGGTGGTCAGTGCGTTCCCACAGGGGGCGCGCCGCTCACCCAGAAGCTAGGCTCACAGCTGGTGAGCGCAGCAGCGGTAGAGAGAGCCTCTCCCGCCTCCAAGGCAGCGCTAAGGACCATGGGAAGTGGGCCTAACAGGCAGGCAGACATCTCCCGAGGGGTCCTGGACTGTGAGAGGGCTCAGGCCCAGCTGAGGGACTCCATCCCCCACAGTGCATGAATGTCGTGCACTGGGCCTCTAGTATTGAAATAATACCAATGTTCTAAATTTGTATATATTCATACTCCATGAACACACTAAGACTTCAGTAATACTACAAAAGAAATGTAAA